ACAGCGCACAACTGCATCATCAGGATACAGCTGGTCACTCTGAGGCCTCAGTCCTGAGCCATTAACAGCAGTGAAAGGTTTTTATTGATTGCAGTGGATGGCAGAACAAGCTGTACCCACGACATGTAGCAAATTGCACTTGATGTGTTCTGGCTTTTTCCCTTTAGATACCTGTGTGATCATAGTGAAAGACAGCTCAGCTTAATTTCTAATTGATTTTTAGAAGAGGGGCTTTTTTCCCAAACAATTGCTCAAATTGAGTTTCTTCTGATAGCCAGTTGGTTCCAAGAATGAACATTTTCTCTAATTCAGTTTCTTTTGCAGTTCATCAGCTCTCTCTCTCTCGGGGCCTTGCACATTGATGCTCAGGAGAGCCTGGAGAGACTCTGAAGATGCTGCCCTGCTGAGGGTGAAGGTGAGGTCAGTGAGGGAATGCACTCCTGACCTTTCTTGTTCCAATTCCCAAGCAATAAGCTGCTTGCAGGAAATGACTTTGCAGCTTCCCCGCTGAATCAGGGAATTGCCTTCCCACAGTAACAATTAATGGGGTGTGTGAGGGAGTGGTGGTCCTGCTGCTGCCACACAGACGTGGTGCCATCCCTGGGGACACAGCTAACAGCACATTTACACGGTGCTGTCAAGGCTTTGCAGTGACAGCAACTCCACATTCTGCCCACTTTGCACTTGAGTCAGTGCCACTTCCAGGGCTATAAACAGGCATCTGTGCCCAGAGGGAGTCCTGCCTGCTTGGATCTGCCAGATGAGAGGCAGAGTCTTTACTGCTTTCCTCACTGGGACACTGAGATCCTGAGGAGGTGCTTTTCTCACTCGTGCCTCACCACAAGTGTTCTCAAGTTCAACTCAGTGAGGCTTTACTGGCCTGAAAATACTATCACTGAAGATGCCAAAATGAATTTCTCATGTCCAGATTCTCAAAGACATAAAAGGTGAGAGACACACATGAACAGACAACACACTTCTTGGGTTAGTCTACAGAGGACTGGCTTGCAATTTCCCACACTTTCATTCAAATAAAAAGAAGAGTTTATGACTGGTATAATGTTGCTTTCCTTTCTCTTCACCTGGAAGTTTTGGGAAGGGATGGTCAAGCTTACTTTGTAAACTTTCCTCTGGATTTCCCAGTCCTGTTCTTCTCTTGTTTGAATTTCCCTGTTCTGGGTTTTAATTTCAGGATATGATGCCTGAAAGGTCTCCTCCTGCAGTACTGAACACTCCTGCAGGGACAGAGCCATGCCCAGACATTTTGGGCCAAAGCCAGAAATTAACAGCATGTCCTCATGGGGGTCGTGCCCCCTCCTCCCATCTCCACCTCTGGGTTTTTGCTGATTTTTCTGATTTGCTCACCCAAGCATTTTCTTCACCTTAAGTGGAGCTGCTCTGCAACTTCATTGTCGTTCCTATTTGCAGCTATCATTACAGCACTCTATTTGCTAATTCAGGACAAATTCCTCAATCCTTTCTGTTTTGAAAAACTTTCCAAAGCAGAGGTAAAAACTGGAATGCTGTGGCTGCTGCTTGCAATTCTGCTCTGTGATGCCAAACCCACCAGAAACCTGAGCTGCAGCTCTCAGCCTGCATTTCCACCTTCCATCCTTCTTCCACCTGACTCTCAAGTGTCCCCCTCAGACCTGGGCTCTTCTCAGGCACCAAACTAGAGCACTTTTACTTCTGCTGCCCAGCTTTAATATCCACTGAACACACACCAGTGACCCGAAGCTCTCACCTCAAGAGCAACAGCAATACCAGCTGGTTCCTGCAAAACTCTGGGAAGTTTTCCATTTCATTTATTAAACTGTTTTGTTTGGTAGAACATTTCAGTCAGATCAAAACCAGTAACATGCTAGATTGTAAAAGAATTTTAGGGAAGGTTTGTGTTTTAATTTAGTGAAACAAAAACCAAAGAAAACCAGGAAAAAAGTAATAAGCTTTATCTTCCTTCATTGTAACTGAAAATAATATCTAAAACAACTCTCTCTCAGTCATCCTCAATTAAAATACCTTAAGTTTTTAATTCAGCAGCCACAGAGAAATCACTTCTGAGGAGCACTGAACAGCAGCAAAAGAAATGTTATGTTACCCTTAATTCTCCAATGACAACCATCCTGATTATTTTCTTTTTGTATTTCCTTTAAAATTCAAGTAGAGAAATTCTGTTTAAAAAAACCCCATTGTATATATATATATATATTTAAATCATACCTGGTGAGCTGTAAGAACACACAAATAAAGTGCAAATTTTGAGAAGCAGAGTATTTTGGCATATCTCTTCATTCCATCTTTTACATTTTGCCTGACATAAACATAATGACTGTTGCTTTCACGGGTAAAACCTGTAGGCATATGTGACTCCAAACACACAGAGCTGGGATTTTCTGTTTTCAAGGTCTATACAAAACAGATAAAGACATTTGCCAAAGGCTAAATATTTCTTATTGGCTTCAACCTCTGTTATTGATCCAGAGATTTATGGCTAAAACTGAGTAAATGATGTGACCTTGCTGTAACTTTACTCAGCCCCATTTTATATTTTATTTCATTAGACATGTATTTTGATTTCTTACCACATGACTGTGTTGTGAGGGAGAGGGTAAAAGGGACACGTTAGGATTAAAGCTGAAAACTCGCAGCACTTGGTGTCATCCAGGTCGAGGTGGGCCCCAGACATTCTGGCCTGATTTTTCCTTTAATGCTTTCACAATTCCACAGAGATCCATCCCTGCATCCACTTAGGGTATTCAAAGGCTCTTACACCATGCAGTGGGAGTCTGACAACTCTGCTGACGTGTTTACTCCATAAAGTGGTGAGCCACTCTAAGAAACCTCAGTGGCCCATGGCTGCATTTTTAAGGAGATGCATTGCTCTGACTGAAGATGGTTCAGTTTTAGCACAGCAACAGCTACAAAATGCTGAGGTGCCATGCAAGTCCCTTTGCACCCAGCCAAGTGTGCAGGAGGCACAGCTGCGTGTGAGGGGAGAGACCAGGAAATGTCAGGTTTGCTCCCACTGCCCTGGAGTCACAGCTCTTCCCAGCTGAGGCAGCCACGGCTTCAGCACAGCTGGGATCAAGGGGAAAGCTCTGCTTGGCCCCTTGAGGCACCCAATCCTCCCGCCCAGGGCTGCTCTGGAACAAGGGAACATGCCATTACAACTCCTGTGCAAATGGAACGTGCTTGCCTGGAAAACTAACTATGTGTGATGCTGCACTCTCCACAAGAGCTGGAAATAAAGTGTTGCAATAATGAAATATTAATAATTAAAGTAGAGAAGTTCAGCCTCAGAACACAATATATCACAATGCAGTTTAGTAACCAGCAAGAACTGCTCTGCACTGGTGAACTAAATGTGCTGATGTAAAGAAGGGAAACAGGTAAGGACTCTATTTTTACTTCCACATATCTAAAATAAAATTAATTTTAATTAAAGTTTGATTTGTCTGTGACAATGGCTGTTGCTTTAATGGCTACTGCTCACTTTGAGTGCAAAATCTGCTTATTGTTGAAACCAAGCTCAGTCAGACTCAGAGAAACTTCCAAAATTAAGTTAAGAAAGGACAGAAGGAGGCCTGGATGCTTCAGGAAGATATCCAGGTGCTGTTGTATTTATCCTGCCATTCCTGGGATTTCAAGGGATACCCTGTCAGTGCACCCATCCCCTCTCAGCTCAGGATGCCCTGGTCCCCGTGGCACAGCCCTGGCAGCAGCAGCAGCCCCAGAGCTCCGGTTCCAGCAGTGCAGCCGGAGGCGTTTCCCGGCTTTGCTGGGCACAGCCGCTGCCTCTGCTCCTGCAGGGAGAGGAATGAGCCCAGCACAGCCTCAGCAGTAGCACCAAGGCTTGCTTTGCACACGGGGAAGGATTATTATTATTATCATCATCATCAATTTAAACAATTTTCTGTGTCAGGCTTATCTCAGCAGCAGGACTCCTCACAAGTTGCCACCTCTCAGCACCAGGGAATGATGAGATCAGCCAAGGGCAACTGTTGTGGCCACCCAAAAAATGGGTGACTAAAATCCAGGAGGGGGATGGCAAGCAGGGTAACTGAGGGAAGGAGAGGTTCTGGCTCCAACTTCTTGCCTAACGTGAACTGAGTGGGTAAGAAGAAACAGCCTCCTGCTACCTCTGTAGTGCAGCCACCAGATGTGACAACAATCACACAGAAACTTCCCAGGAAGCTGAGATGAGAGCAACTGGAGCCTGGTGTGGCCCCCAGTAACAGCTCAGGATCAGACACACCCAACACTGCTGCTGAGTCAGCAGGTTTAGCTGTTCTCCTCTGGGCTTCCAGGGACTTTGTGTGCCACAGGAGATTAAAATCGCAGCACTGAGGGAGCCACGCCTACAGAGACAGGAAGGGGTAGAAGTGATAAAGCTAAAGCAGGACAGCAACGGGATCAGACAAAAGACCAGGATTAACTCTGGAGTGAGAGGCAGATACAGCTGGACTCAGCACACCAGTGACAAAATCATCACCATCACCGTAGAAGAAGTTTCTGGATTTAAGAAACACAATCAAGAAATGTCAGCAACAGGCCCTCTGAAAAACAGAGAAAATCAGGAAGGGGAACATGGAGAACGCTGAATGCAGCCTTTGGAAGGCAATAGCTGTTGTTAGAGCTGTCAGCTATAAACCACTCACAAGGCAGATGCACTTGAAATGTCTTGTCCAATACAGATCCCAACTGTCACTCAAAATGATCAGACTGTTTATTACAGGCTGCAATGGGAACATGAAAGAAGACATGGGATGACAGAGCAGAGACAGATGGACTCTTTGCTACATGTCATTTAATATCAATCAGTGACAAGAATTTATTAACACAGTTGCTGCTTTAATGCATTGAACAGGCTTAAAAACATTCAAGGCACTGGATGGTAAGTGATCATTAAAATGCACGTCACAAGGCTTCAAAAGCTCTAATAGTCCCTGAAAATATCCAGTATCATTTATCAAAATAACCCCAAAACGTTAAGGACATACCTCACTTGGTTTTTGAAGAATGAAGGTTGCTTCTCTACCAGTAGTCTCTGGAAGATGAGCTGAACATCTCCATTAAACTGGTGATACTGGTTTCTGTTTTGCCTTCACCTCACTCTTCTTGCTCCCTTTTAAGCTTGACCCTTGCAAGGACCTAATGGAAGCAGGACAGAATGACAACCAACAGAACAGACTGAGCAGAGCTCTTAGGGAGCCAACACCAAGCTGCTGATATTCCGAATATCCATGTTTTCCCAAGCACAAACACCTTTCCCCTCATGTACCCTCATTTCTCAAAGCAGTTCTAACCCATCAGCACCGTGCATTATCCCATATTGCTTCCAGGAGAAATTCACCCAACAACAAATACTTCTTATACTGAAAAAGACTGCAGACCTTTTCTCATCCTGGCCACTGACAGAGTTCTTCCCCCAGTTTAGAGCTGCCAGGTCTGGGGAGCTCTTCTTTTTGGCATTTCCAAACAGCTGTAAGCCAAGCTCTTGCTGTAAAAGTATTTTCTAGGGAAAAAAAAATATGAAAAACATTAAAAAAAAAAGAATACAAGGACCTCACTGTATACATTTAATTTCTAAACTGTTCTAAAATACAGGAATCTAAACAGCAATTTCCATTTTTATCATAAATTATGAATAAAAGTATATTAATAAATTATATACTTTTGTAATGGTTTAAATTATTTTATATAATTATGAAAATCCTAAATTTCTCTGAAACAATCATCTTTTTCTGGAAGTCCAATAGCAGAAATTCTATCTATTCAGTAGTGATCCCAAATATACTTTGGTGTCAAAAGAATATTTCCAGAAAAAAAGAAACCAGAAAAAGAGGAAAAGAGCCCTTTTCCCACCCTGCTCCTTCTCCCAGAAGAATTCACACCCTTCTAATGAAGCCTTTCAGCAATGTTTATACACTAAGACACTTAAAAATGAAAAGGTAAAAATCTCAAACACTTATTCCAGTGGGATGCTTGAGATGGAAAATTTAAACCCCTTGCAATTTCCACAAGGAGATATTTTTGTTATCGTACTGGCACTGACAGAAGATTTGATGTTTGTCATCTCTGTAAAAACCTTTAATCAGCTGAATTCTCTGTACACAACACCAAATCTGCCTGAGGACACCACCCTGACCCCAGCTATGAAGAACGGGGGAGATCTTATATTCAAACACACGCCCAGAAATACAGGAACTGAGGCTCTGGCCTTTTTGGCCAAACCCAGTTGCTTGGCAACTCATGGAGGCTTTTTAAAGAACATTTTTGGAAAACAAGGCCCTGTTGTTTAACAACAGAGTTTTGAGGTTGGAAATTGTGGAGTGTTGAATAGCTGAGAGTCAGTAACGTCATTCTTGAGGAGAAAATCACTCTCCCGCTGACAATGCTTCCCTCACTTCAGAAGGCCCCGGTTGCTGCCTTTCCCGTTCCTTTTGTTATGTGTAGTAAATAAAATTCGCGTCATTCCTTGTATGAAATATGTAATATTGGATACTTGTCAGATTATGCCCGTTTGTATTAGTCCCCCCCGCCCCTTTGCAGGCGAGACTGGGTGTTTATTGGAAATTGATTTACAAGTAGAAGGATGTGGCTCGGCCAGGAGATGGGCTATGTCTGGACTCCCATCACTCCCATTGGGACTCCAGGTGTTGATCATTGGGTGCTGATCATCACCCAAGATGGATAGCATGGAAATCCTCAGACAGATCCATGTGAATGCAGCCTTCCCATAAATCTCATCAGGGATTCACCTACTCCAGACATCAAATTATTTCTCCTCATCACCAAAAAAAAAAACCAAACAAAAAAACCCCAAAAACTTATTAACCTATGGACTCTGAATAGAAGAAAAGACTGATTGCCGAAATCTTGGCCTCAGGTGGAATTTTCCCTATAAAACCCGCTTGTGCCAGGATGGAGGTGTGTGGGCTTCTGCTGAGGCTGACTCCTTGTGGCACACCCAGGGCCGATTCCCGGGCTCGGCAGTCTTTTTCCGTGGCTGGCTAGATAGAATTTGACCGCTAATAATTTTTTTGTTATTTGTAATCTGTCTGAATAAATTCTCATTTACAACGCTTTTCATTTCAAAGCCAGTAGTGACCGTGGTCTCCCGGCGTTTGGCCGCTCCTGCCGAGCCGGGCAGGCTCGGCCGCGCTCCGCCCGCCGCAGCCCGGAGCGGGGCGGCTCGCTGCCCTGCTGCACAAGCGGCTCTCCGTGCGCTGGCTCCCAGCACAATTCCAGCCGAGCTCGGCTCCCGGCCCCCGAAAGGCTCTGCCAGCTCCAGCCAGCGCCCGGGAGCGGCAGGGGCGGGCCTTCGCCTGGCTGAAACGCGGAGCTCCATTGGCAAACCCCACAAACAGCCGCAGCCATCCGTTAGAGGAGGCTCGGAGAGCCATTCTGCAGCGTACCGGGTTAATTGTGGGCCAGGAGCTCGGCGATGTGCCGACTCTGTGTGTTCGTTCACACAGCGCAGTGTGCCTTGCCTTGGGGTTGATTTCCTCCTGTGAGCAATGAGAGGCAAAACGCGAGCAGAGGTTGTTGTTGCACGCGAAAAGGCTTGTGCCCAAGCGCGTACAAAATTGCAATTCAAAAGCCAGGAGAGAAAGCAGGCTGAGATGTACATCATTTGCTGCTTGATTAAAACACTTATAGAAGTCTTGAACCGTTAAGAATAATAAGTAGTTCTCAGTGCATGATTTCTAATCCAATTATTTTTAAGAACTGCTAGAAATATGGCTAAGCATTATCACCTTTGCCCCAGAATCATGGCAGCAACACAGCAAATGAATAATTCAGGCGACCAGTAGTAGAAATTATTTTATAACTATTCCATGAGACTGTACTGTAATGTATCACACAATAAACAGAAATAAAAAGCCAAGTCTCACAGCTGTCTCACCAGGGATGCAGTTTTAGATGGAAGGGATAAATATGCTAATATAAGACTTGAGTATTTGAAACTTGTTGGAGAGAAAATTTATTATGTCTTCTAAACAATATTTGTGCTGTGCCGTCGGAAAGAACATTTCATAAATTTCGATGTTTCTGTAAACATTAAAAAATTTTAGCCTCCATCTGTTAGATTTCATTCCTGATGCCTAATGAGTCTTGTGTTTCACCTTTACGATTCCTGTTTTAGAGCAGGGCCAGGCTGGATCTGATACAAAGCATCCCAGCAGATCCCTCACCCACATATTTGGGTTAATTTAAGTACCTTTAGCTCAAGGAAATGCTTTGGTTTAAATTATGTGACGATATTTCTCAATATTCTGTATTGAATGACATACCCTCAATTTGGCTACACATTTTCACCAAAAAGAATTGAGAAAAGGAATGAAAAGCAGAGTCCAATGTTCTGAGCAAAACTGATATTCTCAGGGCTATATGAGGTTTCATCATTTGCATCCAGTGGAACATGGAACAGTTAAGCAACACCAAGGTCACCTGTGCCCAAAGGCCACACCAGTGAAAGGAGTCACAGATCAATTGAAAATCCTACCTGTGCTGGCAATGCCAGGGCCTCCAGGCCCTTAGGAACAGAGGCATCAGAGCAAGGACGTCAGAGATTAAAAATGCAAAGTAATCTTCAACAGAATTAAAAGCTGTAATTAAATGAAGTTGCTCAGTAGTGTAAATGCTGCCCCTCAGTGATCTTTTGGGAATGTGCTGAGTTATGGTTCCATTTTTCATTCAGAAACAATGTCAGACACTCACTCAGCTGGCACCAGTTAAAAGCTAAATGCAGTGAGTTACAGCATCCAGCGGCTGTGGTTCCAAACCCCTGGCTGCTTCTAGAATTCTGCCAGAAACTCGTGTGATAGTGTGCAGAGATCTGAGGCACAGAAATCAGGGGATGCCTGTGTCCAGCTGGCACTGAAGCCATCCTTTAGACATCCCTCATTCCACATGTTATTCATGTCTCAGCCTTAGCCTCTGTCCTGCCAACTTTCAGAAACCAATTGCACAAAAAAAGGCTTCATTTACTTCTTACCAAAGGGTTGGAGACTCACCCTGGAGGGAAATAAAACCCCTCAATGACATTTCCACATTTTGACAATTGTGTCTACCCAGGGTTAGCAGTTGGACCTCCAGAAATCACACTGGAGGTCCATACAATCCTTACAATTGTGAGGAAAAGCTGCATCATCCTCCCTGTTTTAGGCACAGATCAACCAAGAGGCAATAGGAGCACAGCAAGACCACAGAAATATTTACAAATTGCTAATACATATTCCCATTTTAAACCATAATTTCTTGGGAAGATGGCCTGTGTCACACAGATGAAGCCTACATGGATACTTTAAATCCACTTAACCCTGATGATGTTTAACAAGTGAAAACTAGAATGCCAAGCAAGCTGAATAAATGCTGTTTGCATTAGTTCTTTCAGATATTTTATATGAATACACAGACAAAATTTACACATGACCCAAATTTTTTCAGGTAGCTCAAGAGTGGAGAAAATTTGAAATAAATCCATAGTAATCTAACCAGGCAGAAAAAAACAATCAATCAAACAATATGAATATTGCATATGAGCCACTGCTTATGAACAATCAATAAGCAATTATTAAAGTGAACCCATTTAAGAAGGAAATAAAAATATCAACTCCAAAAAAATTAAAAATACTTCAAAGCCAAGTCTTATTTTACATGTAAAAAAGATTGCCTATTCTCTGTAGAGGAGAAAACAACTGTACCCTGAAATTGTTTCATAAACCAGTGCATCTCCCATTTAGCTATTTTATTCACTTCTCAATTCCCTATTATTTATGTCAACATTTAGCTGTGCAACTTGGAGATTGTGCTGGCTGATCATCAGCAATTTCAAATATCTGATTCCAGGCAAGGATTAATTCTATAATCGTGGCAGTTCTTTCAATACCAGTTCATGTCTAGACTTTTTTTAGGGAGCAAATCTAGAATCAAATTAATGGCTGTTTAAACTTACTCATTTTGCTCCCTGGCTCCATTTTCTTATTAAAGATGCCAGCTACTATTTCAGCATTGTCTGAGCAATGGCCTCTCTTGGGAACTCTATGGAAGTCTCTGTGTGTCTCAGGCTGCCGAGGTGCCAGCAAGGCAATGAGCTGTAGGAGAACTTCACCATTCCCAGACTTCTGATTCTTCATCAAATATGACAGTAAAAAAAGTTAAATATCAGCATAATTCCAAAGGATCAGAAAATACCTACAACTTAAAAAGGAAGAAAGGATTTTACAGTCTTCTCCTGAGATGTCAAGATTGGAAGCTCTATTTCCAGTGCTGCTGCAGGAGCTCTTCAGATGACATTGTGCCCACACTGCCATGTGCTCACCAAAAATCAAATCAATATGCTTTGGCACATGGCAAACACTTAATGCAAAAATAGGCTGAACAGTTTTTAAATTTACAAAAAAACTATACTCCTCAGTTTAATGCCCACTCTAAAGAAATCTGTCTTTGTTTGGGGTTTTGTTTTGTTTGTTTTCCATTTACCTTGGAATCTGTATACAGATCAATGGT